GGGGTAGGGGTAGGGGTAGGGGTAGGCTAAGGAAGTAAACGACACGACAAATGGAATCCGTCGCCACCTTACCCGGCCGCGAAAAATGATCATCACACTCACGTTAACCCCCGCACAGGAGAGCCAGCGAAGAGGGCAGACGCCGAGTCGATTTGTTGGGACGCACAACCCAAGACATAGATAGGGGGAAGCAGGAGGTGCTTTATTGTGGTTGTATGAACAATGTCGTGTTCTTCACGTCGGCAGCGCAGCGAACGTTCAGGCTACTGACTACCGAGCAGAAACCCTGCGGGCTACGGAAGCCCTCCCCCCTTCCCCGATATACGACTCACCCCGAGTAGTCGAGAGGCAGCAGGATCCCCAGCTGCGACCCGTCCGGCTTCGGCCTGACGCTGCCCTCCCCTCTCGCCGCCGCCGCCGCCGCCGCCACCACCTCCGCCAGCGCCGCCGCGTCCGCCGCTCTCGACCCCGTCCAAGACCGCGGCCTCGGCGGCACGGACTCCGACCGCCCCCCGTCCCCGCCGCTGCTCCGCTCGGGTCTCGGAGGGGTACGCCTCCTTGGCCGAACTCCCCCGGCCGCCGTCGCCCGTCTTGGCGGGCTCTGCGAGTCCGGCGACGACCGCCCCACCCCTAGGCTGACCGCCGCCCCCGCCGCGCCGTACCGGCCAACGCCGCCGCCGCCGCCGCCGCGACCGATCCTCGAGCCCGTCAGGGGTGGGGTCTGCGATCGCCGGCTGAGGGCGTCCGCCCGCCGGAACGGGCTGCTCGCCGGGCTGTTGTTGAGGGAGGAGGAGGCCGGGGAGCTCGCGAAGCCGTTATTGCTGTGCGCCGACGACGCGGGGGAGAGCACCAGCCCGTCGCCCCCGGTACTAACGCCGAGACTGCCGTGGCCTAACGACGCCGGCCTGCCCATACTGCCCGCTGCGAGACCCCTCGCGCGATCGCCGTTGGGCAGCGTGAGTGGGTCGAGGTGCCCCAACAATGCCGACAGGGTGCCCCCGCTGGAGGAGCGGCGACACCCCCTCGTGCGGGCCGCCTCGCCCACGGTCCTCGCCCCTTCCGCCCGGCCGCCGCTCGACGCGGTAGCTCTCGCCGCCTTCTCCTCGTCCCAGTCGCCCCCGCCGCCCATCGCGAAGAACTGCCGCAGCAGCTTCTCCTGCTCCCGGTGCTGCTGCAGCTGCTGCTGCTGCTCCAGGCCTTCCAGGCGCCGCCGCCGCAGCCTCTCCTCGGCCACCGTAGGCCGGCCGGGCTGGTGGAGCCCTTGCGCCTGCCCGTCCTTCGAGCCGCAACCGCCGTTCACGCCGGCTTGCGGAGTGTCCGACATCGATTGCGAATGCTGCTTCGGTAACAACGGGACCCCGCTTAACACCCCGCCATCTGCCCCGCCTGGCGCTTGTTGCGGCGGCGGCGGCGGCGGCGGCGGCGGCGGCGGCGGCTGCGGCACAGCAGCAACAACCTGCTGTTGCTGCTGTCGCAGCTGCTGCTGCTGCCTGCACCCGAGCCCGGCCATCTGCGCCCACGTCACCGCCGGGCTGATGCTAACAGCTCCTGCGCTTCCTCCTCCCACCTGCTGCTGCTGGAGAGGTAGTGAGTCATTACCCATGAGAGGCACCCCCATCGGCTCTTGACCAAACGGCGAATCCACTTGCTGGGCAGGCGTGCGGGGGTGGTTGATCCACTGCTGCTGCTGCTGCTGCTGCTGCTGCTGCTGCGGCGGCGGCGGGTGGTGCGGTGGTGGCATCGGCGGCGGCGGGGGTGGAGGGAGCGGTGGTGGGGGCTGCGGTGGCGGCGGGTGGTGGTGGTGATGTGCTGCGCCCTGGTGATGCTCGCCGTATCCCGCGAACGAAGCCGGCGACGGCGGCCGAGGCAGGGCTCGACCCGGTGGGGGATTCCGCGGCGGCGGGTTTTGACCGAACACGCAAGGTTCTGGAGGATGTGGCGGCGGCTGGCTCGAGCCAGTGGTGTACTGGTGAGGTTGCCCTAACGGCGGGGTGGCCGCCCTCATGCCAGTTGGCCCGGGTCGCCCCGCCGCGGGCGACGGTGGAACGCCGCCGTCCCACCCCCTGGCAACAGGGTGCCCCACGCTGATCGCCCTCTGGATGCCCCCGAAATATTGCTGCTGCGGGTGCCCCTGCTGCGAGAGGCCCACGGGCGACCGCATCGAAAGGGAGACGTCCTGCTGCGGGCGCTCCGCCGACCGCGGCATTCCCCCGACACAAACCCCCCCGCGGACCCCCGCTGCCGCTGCCGAAGCTCTGGTTGCGCCGCCGTTTGCCCCTATCCCTCCTCCCGCCGCCGGGCCCGTGCCGTCGTCGAAAGCTAGGTCGACGAGCACAGGCGCCGTGAAGCTTCCGCTGCTGGCCCCGTGCTCCTTCGCATGTCTCGACCGCTGCTGCTGCTGCTGCTGCTGCTGCTGCTGCTGCTGCTGCCCGCCGTTCGCACTCCCCCTCCCCGCTCGAGCCCCCGCCGCCGTTGAGGCGCCGAGTGCGAGCTCGTCCCACCCGCCCACGATCGGCATGCTGCCCTGCTTCGCCGCGCCGGCGGCGGCCCCCGCTCCAGCCAGCACGTCGTGGCCGGTGCTAAAGGGCGACCTGGGGGTCGTTGTTGTTGGGCTGGCTCTCCCGGAGGACTCCGGCATCGACAAGCCCTTCCGCTGATTCTCCGCTGTCGTCGACCCCGACAGTAACAGCAACATCTCGGTTGCCTGCTGCGGCGGCGCAGGATTGAGCCTCCTGCCCCAGCCCGACCCATCCCTCCCCCTGCTGGCAACCGAGGAGGCACCGCCGCCGCCGCCGCCGCTGCTGTTGTCGCCGTCTAACCCTTCGATGAGAAGGCCGTGGACGCCGGGAGAGAGCGGCCCTCTAGGGCTCGGCAAGGTCGGTCTTCGTGCTTTCGGTGTCAGGAGCGGCGGCTGTAAGGCACGGTTCGGGGACCCCGGTTTACCGTCCGGGCCACCGACGCCGCCGCCACCGCCACCGTTCTCCCCGGCTTGCTGCTGTAGACAGGCTAGGCTAGTTTCTACCCGTTCTATGTGGAGCCGCCGGACCGCCTCTATCAGGCAGCGCTCGAGCGTCTTCTGGCTCTCCAGATCAGGGCTTCTGCGGCGCAGTTGTTGCCACGTCGGGCGTTTTCCCAAAACAATCGGGGAGGGTGCGAACATCAGGGAGTCGGGGAGAGGGTCAAGAGGCGAGGGGACGGGCTCGGAAAGAAAAAAATGTATGTGTCGCCTACAGCAGTAGCGATGGCTTGTCCTTGTCCCACCCACGTACGTGCATAAAAATACGGGCAGCAACACAAGGGAAGCACGTGTTTTTCATTTCCCTGCGGTGTTTCACTTTATCTTCTCCGAAACACGACATCCCTTCTTGCTCCGAACTCCCCCGGGGTATTTTTGCAGTTAAAAAATCCTTCCTGTCTTGAGCACCCCCCTTGTCGGCATGCTTTATTCACTGGCAAATAATACCCTCCTCCTCCCTTGGATAGAAATCATACGGGATTACGGTATACCTCAATCAACTTCACATGCGTATCATCACCCTCTAGGAGAATTGTTGCGCCAGACCACAACACGAAGAGAAGCGCATGCTCAAGGGACTCTTTCGTGAAGGACTCCAAGGGATGACGAGCTACTGCTGTATCTCCAGCGCCAACGAGAGATCGACTTCGTCCCCGTTTCCGAGCCAAACAGGACGCCAGATTCGTCCGAGCGGCGGGAGATGTACCAGCTTGCAAGGTTGCCTCAAGGCCAATACGACACCTATGCCTACCGCGAACCCCCATCACAGACAAAAACACAACCCCCCCCCTCGGCGCCTTCTGCGTAGAGACGCCGCCGAGACATGCGAGCATTCTCGAAGTCGCTGCCATATTCACAAACTCAAACGTTGTTGGAATGTCCGTCGCCCAGTGCGTCGTTTTGGCTGAGAGCAGCATCCACACCGTTCCAGCAAACGCTAAATCATCAGTTTTCTTGGTCTGCCTTCGCGACGATATTTAAGCTATAGGTAGTCTATACGATGATACAATGGGGGTGTTTCGCAACCGTAGCCCCAGCCCCTAACCCGTCAAAAACCAAGCTTGGTATCCTCGCCAAAGCTGCTGTTTTGATACTCTCACCTCGAAGTGCTGCTTCTGAGGGAGTCTTCGCTGATGGGAGTCGTGGATCGGGTGGGCGTGGGGGAAGATCGGGAGTCGGGCGAGGCGCGGCCTCCGCCATCGGCCTGGGATGTCCATCTACAGTACAACGGTTGCGTTTCACGTAAAAAAAAACGCGCACCGTGGTGATTAGGAAGAGGGAAGGGGCCCCGCGAGCGCACAAAGTGAGCACAAGCAGCCAACGAAGAGCACCGCGGGAGCTCTGATCCTCCCCCCCCCCCCGCGAATACGGCTCCCTTGGTCGCGGACTTTCTCCGCAAGACGCACACCAGAAGACGCCGTAAATTGCGGCTGAATTTTGTGGTCCCACACTGCTACAACCCAAGGGGTGATGAAGATTCTTTGGTAAAGTGCACTGCAGCATGACGTCTACACCGTATGGCATTGAGTGTTGAGGTGGATTGAGGTTTGGAAGGCGCAAAACTACATGTAATGTACCTGATCTCCGGCAAAAAGGGGGTGAACTTAAGGCCGCCTTCACCAGCACAACCAACACAAACATGTATCTGCCCCCCCCCCCCCCCCCCCCCCCCCCCCCCCCCCCCCCCCCCCCC